GGGCTCAATTTCGTGATTACATTATAAAGAAAATTAGACTTGACAATGCTGATGAATTTACATCTGAATCATTTAATAACTATTGCATGTCAATTGGAATTACTGTTGAACATCTTGTTCCTAATATGCATACACAAAATGGTTTAGCCGAGTCTTTAATCAAACGTTTTCAATATATTGCTAGACCATTAATTATGAAAACTAAACTACCAATTACCGTTTGGGGTCATGCAATTTTACATGCTGCAACACTCATTCGTCTAAGGTCAAGTGCTAATCATAAACATACACCTTATTAACTTGCAATTGGTAAGGAACCAAATATTTCTCATTTAAAGATATTTGGTTATGCAGTATATGTCCCAATAGCTCCACCACATAGAACAAAGATGGGACCTCAAAGGAGGTTGAGAATATATGTGGGGTATGAATCACCTTCTATTATTAGATATCTTGAACCTTTAACAAACAATGTTTTTCAGGCAAGATTTGTTGATTGTCATTTTGACGAAACAAAATTTCCAACACTAGGGGGAGAAAATAAAAAAATTAGAAAATGAGATAACATGGTATGTACCCCATTTATTACATTTGGACCCATATAATAAATCATGGGAAGAAAATATAAAGAAAATTGTGCACTTACAAGATTTAGCAAATCAATTGCCAGATTTTTTTTACTGATTTAAAAAGAGTGACAAAGCCACATGTACCAGCTATAAATGTCCCAGCTCGGACTGAGATTTCAAATCTAAATGATGTAGTAAGTATATCTAAGGCACACTTGAAGTGTGGCCAACCTATGGGATCCAAAGACAAAAATCCCAGAAAAAGAAAAGGGATAGAAAAGATGAATATGGTTGAAAGTGATCTTGAAAAGACACTAGATAATAATAAATCCACAATTGAAAAACATGCTCCCGAAGAAGCACAAGATGATGATAATGAGATCATTGATAATGAAAATGAAAACAAGAATGATCTTGAAATTTCAATTAATTATGTTGATACAGGAACTTTGTGGAACCGAAAAGATATAAATATAGATGAAATATTTTCATTCTCCATTGCATGTGAAATCATAAATAAAAATGATGATCTTGAACCAAGAATTATGAATGAATTTCAAAATAGGCATGATTGGAAAAATGGGAAGGATGCAATAGATACTAAACTGAATTCTCTTAAAAATCAAAAAGTATTTGGCCCCATTATGACTATACCAAAAGATGTGAAACCGGTTGGGTATAAGTGGATCTTTGTAAGGAAACGAAATAAGAAAAATGAGATTTTCAAATACAAGCTTCGTCTTGTTGCACAAGGTTTTTACCAAAGACCATGAATCGATTATGAGGTAACTTATTCCCCTGTTATGGGTGCCATTACTTTTCGTTATTTAATTAGTTTATCAGTATTTAACAATCTTGATATATATCTTATGGATGTTGTTACTGCTTATTTGTATGGATCACTTGATACTAATATATACATGAAAATCCCAGAAGGATTTAAAATGCCAGAGACATCAAAACCTAGAGAAATGTATGCAATTAAGTTGCAAAGGTCATTGTATGGATTAAAACAATCAGGGCGCATGTGGTATAATAGGCTAAGTGAATATTTGCTTAAAGAAGGCTATGAAAATAATCATATTTGCCCTTGTGTTTTTATAAGAAAAATAATATCCGATTTTGTAATAATTGTTGTCTATGTTGATGATTTAAATATCATTGGAACTAACAGAGAAATAAAGGAAGTAAGAGATTACTTAAAGAAAGAATTTGAAATGAAAGATTTGAGAAAAAACAAAGTTCTACCTTGGTTTACAAATTGAGTATACTAAAAATGGTATATTGGTACATCAATCAAACTATACAAAAAGGATATTGAAAAGGTTTAACATGGACAACACAAACCCTTTAAGTACTCCAATGATGGGTAGAACACTTAACATTAAAAATGATTCATCTAGACCTAACGAAGGCAATGAAGAAAATCTTGAATCTGAAGTACCATACCTCAGTGTCATTGGGGCACTAATGTACCTTGCTAACTATATCAGACCTGATATAGCTTTTGTAGTAAATTTATTAGCAAGATTCAGTTCATGTCCTATAAAATGACACTGGAAAGGAATAAAGCATATATTCTGATATCTTCGAGGTACATTAGATATTGGTTTATTTTATTCTAACAATACAAAATTAATTTTACTTAGTTATGCAGATGCATGATATTTGTCAGATCTACATAATGCTAAATCATAGACTGGATATATATTTATATATGGTAACACTGCAATATCATAGAGATCACAAAAGCAAACACTTGTAGCAACTTTTTCAAATCATGTTGAATAAATTGCTCGTAAGCAAAAAATATAGAAGGTTACGATCGGTAATTAGACATGTCTAAGGAGCATCTGGTTTACCCATTGTAATAATCAAACAATTTTGTATGAAGACAAATGTTGCATGTGTTACCCAGATGAAAGAAGGTTACATCAAAAAGTGACTGAACCAAGCATATTCCTCTAAAGTTCTTCTCATTCACGCAAGAACTTGAAAGAAACAAAGAGGTTAATATTCAATATATTCGTTCATGTGATAATATGGCACATCTCTTCACAAAAGCACTCCCTACATCAATTTTCAAAAAGCATGTACAAATTGGAACGCGTCAACTTCGAGATCTTTAAAGAAGAACTATGTGTGCTCTGTTGATGGGGAGCATCATGTTGTACTCTTTTTCCCTTATTAAAGTTTTTATTCCAATGAGTTTTTCCTAATAAGGTTTTTAACGAGACAATATACGTTTCCATAAGTTTCTCTTTTGATAAGACCTCGATAGAGCACCCTAATAGATATTTCAAAGGGGAAATGTTATAATATTGTTATTTAGAGCATCTTTAATGCATATTTTTAATAGTTAAATTTTTTATAGTTAACGATGATTATAAAGAATTTGCATTAGAATGACTATGACATGACATTTAATTCACTAACTTTTAGTTTCTTCAAATTATATAGCTAACGTATGCTATTTATTTTGAAACATATAATATTATTATTTATGTTTAATGTATTTTATTTAAAATAATTAAATTAATGGTAACTTCAATAAAAAAAATAATTACAATTAAAAAATATAAAATATAGGATCAAGTTTTAGTTTTTTATAAATAACTATCATTAAAGTAAAAACAACTCAAATAACTATAAATTTTTTAAATCCTACCAATCACTTTGAACCCACAAAAAATATCTTAGTTTACCCACTTAAGATACTCCCACTAAGATAATTTGTCAAAGTTTAAATAGTAAGTCCAATTATTACATTAGTGTAATAGTTGTATTTTTAATAATATAAATACTATCTTTGGTCAATGTAAAAATACATACCAAAATTTTATTTTAAAAGTACAAGTAAAACATTCTCCTTTCTTCGATCTTTTATCTAAATTTGATACTTAAAACTAATTTATAAACTTATATTAGTTCATAAATATTAACAAATATTTAAAACCAATTTTTCTTTTAACAATTATATCGTTTTTCATATAGAATATATTTGTCATCATCGTAACCATGTTATGGAACACATGTACATTCTTTTACCGGATAGCTTGCGTGGCTATCCCTTAAAAATGACTTATTTATAATAATAAAATAATTGAACTTTTTTCATATGAGAGAGAGAGATTGCGGAAGAAGAATTTGCAAAACAGTGCTGATTTAGAAAACGCTTTGTTTCTTTCACACTTTACTATCCATTTCATCATCTTCACGCAGGTTCTTCTTCCTAATTCTTCGCTTAAATTACACTGTTTATCTATATTCTCTTAAATTAGGTTACTTAAACCCTATGCTATGATATGAAATTAACACTTTTAATCCTCATGTTAATCATATTGTTTATGATTTAGCACTTGAAATTATAATTTATGCAATTTTTCCTTTCTTTTTAATTCTTAATAGCTTTTAATTGTTATGCCAGTTATGTTTTTTTTGTTTTGTTATTGTTATGCATTGTTTTTCTTAATTGAACTGAATGGAATTAGTTAGAAGTCATAACACCTGATGCATTTGCATGATTCAATATAAGATGAGAGAGGGTTAGGGTTTGTTTTAGCATCAAAAAGTTAGGAACTTGGGTTGGGATTGGGGGTGATGTAAATTGTAATGTCATTCTTACATCTAAATTGAGTGTATGTTTGGTTTCATGGTTGGAGCACTTAAAATTGATTTTGGATGTGTAGAATTGATTTTGAATGTAGGCTTGGTTTCACGTTTGGAGCACATAGAATGATTTTGGATCTGTAGAATTCATTTAGGTGTATGTTTGGTTTCACGGTTGGAGCACTTAGAATTGATTCTGTATGTGTAAAATTGATTTTGACATGTTTGGTTGTTCTCGAGTAGAATTGATTTTGTGTTTCAAAATGGATTCTACTTGAAGTTATGATTTGTAGCTTTTGAGTCTAAGCGCGTGATTCAACTTACCTTTGTAGAACTTTATCCAAACATAAATCAGTTTACCTTCAAATCACTTTTAGCCAAAATCAATTTTACATAATGAATTTACTCATAATCAATTTTTTTCACCGCTGAACTAAACACGTTGAAATGGGTTTTTTCATTTGAAAAGAGAGAGAGCTTTCTTTATATGCATTGTATTGTGTTAACGTCTGCCTATTGAACTTGATTCTCAACTGCTTTCTCAATTGGTTTTTATCATAAGGTTTTGATTTATGAAAGCCAACACACATACGGACATCATATTGACACCGGCACATGTGCATCCATAATAATTTAAGAAAATGGAATTTATTGAATTTAATCACGTGTTGGTGTTAGTCACTGAGACATGTCTTCAACCTGAAGTGTTGGTGCTACACGTCCTCAATCCCAACATTCCTTTTTTTTCTTCCTTAGGTCATATCTATAACCTTGAAAAAGTTCTATCTGATTTGTAATTTGGCTTTGGACATAGCAGTGAGAATGTATAATAATGTCAGGCCGCAACCAGGGGTGCCTCAATTTTATTCTCAACCTCCAACAAGCTCACAACCTAATGTGTTAGGAAATGCATTTAATGCTGCCGGTTCTGGACTCATTCGAGGTGGATTGGGTGCATATGGAGAAAAAATATTCGGATCAAGCTCTGAGTACGTCCAAAGCAATGTATGTATCACAATTTGCAATGAAATTCACCTCTAAATCTAATTCATACATGGTGTATGATCTCACTTCAACAATACTTACATATCTGTGCGCAACTTATTTATTGATTAATCATCTATTTTCAACAACAGATAAGTCGGTATTTCTCTGACCCCCAATATTACTTCCAAGTGAATGACCACTATGTTAAGAACAAATTAAAGGTGGTTTTGTTTCCATTCCTGCACCGGGTAGGCAATAATGTCACTCTTTTCTGCATTCATCTAATTAAATTTTTTACTTTTGTTTTGCTATTTTATCTTGCTTGCTCTTATGTTTGTCTTTTCTTGTTCAGGGTCATTGGACTAGAATTACTGAACCAGTGGGAGGTAGACTCTCTTATAAACCTCCGGTTCATGACATAAATGCACCCGACCTGTACATTCCGTTGATGGCATTTGGTACCTATGTTGTTCTTGCTGGCATTTCACTCGGTCTTCGTGGAAAGTAAGTATAATATCTTTGATATCTTAATTCTGTAAAGTACTGACACGAATTATATCCTCAAATTTGTGTGTATGTGCAGCCTAGCAAGGTTATAAAAATCACGATCTAGATCTTAAAATCTTGTGATTTTTCGATCCCACTCACCCCCAAGGATTCTGATTTTAAGTAGAATCGTGTGTTGTAGTCAAATTGTGAAAAAAATAAATCTTAAAACCATTGATTATGTGCGATCTTGGCTAGTTCCAGCCACGATCGACTGTTTTCTGATCACCACCATTACAAGCCAAGAAGGATGACTAGATGCCGAGGCGCAACAATTACGGTTCGGCGGAGACCATTTTCCCACAAATACACTTGCCTACCAAAATATCATGTAAAACAACTTCAAATATATAGTATTATTTTTCATTTTAGTAATATCTTACGATTTTTATTACGATATTTGTTTTACGATCTTGTTATCCCTCCTGATCTTATAAAAATAATTGGGTAAGATCTTCCGATCTTAGTTACAATTTTACTATCCCCTCCCGATCTTATGCTTTATGATACTGCTACCCTCCTAATCTTACAAAAATAATTGCGCAGGTTCTTCCGATCTTAGATTTATTCTTACTATCCCCTCCCGATCTTATGTAAGATTCCGATCATGACAACCTTGCAGCCTAGAGCTCCATACGATACTTTCTCCTGATTAGTCCATAACATGATTTCGTAGCTGAATACCTTTCTTATTCCTTGTGATACCTTTGTTATTTGTTACTCATAAAGACCTTTGCAAATGTGACTTGAGGATCACAGAAATGTTATGTGCGGTAACTAAATCGCGCAAAAAATAATTAGATATCAATAGTCTTTGTTTATTTGTTTTGTGATGAAGAGTTGGTAAATCACCATGTTGTATTTGTTGCTGCCAGGTTTAGTCCAGAAGCATTAAACTGGTTATTCATCAAGGGATTGGTTGGCTGGTTTATGCAAACGGCGCTGCTTAAAGCGACATTGCTTTCATTAGGAAGTGGGGAAGCGCCACTACTGGACATTATAGCATACGCGGGGTATACTTTCGCGGGCATATCTTTGGCTGTTATTGGAAAAATAATCTCCGGTTACTCGTATTACGTTCTGATGCCATGGACCTGCTTATGCATGGGAGTATTCTTAGTTAAAACAATGAAAAGAGTCCTTTTTGCAGAAGTGAGGAGTTATGATTCAAGTAAACACCATTATCTCTTGCTGTTTATTGCTTTTGCTCAGTTCCCATTGTTCATATGGCTTGGAAACATTACTGTCAATTGGTTTATATGAAGTGTTTGTATTTATACTGTACTATTATATAGTATATAGTACAACTTAATGTTATTTTTTGGTTGTGGATTTTGGATATTGTAGCATGGACTTTTCCTCTCTCTCCTGCTTTTATCCTATGTATACCACAATAGGGTTGTTCAGACTCAAATTATAAATCTTATCCGTAAGTAGATTCAATTCTGAAGAGCATAATCAATTTTCCTTGAGAGTAACCAACGAGAATTAATTTTGGATGTTTCAAAGTGAAATCAAAGATACTATTAAACAAGACACAACATCAACATTTTGATGGGTAAAAAATTCATCTGTCAAAGAAAATCATGCTGTAGAATGTAGATAGGTTGTATTGAGGTCTGTTTTAAGACCTACACCCATGACCTAGAAGAGGAGCTTACTAACTAGCAATGTACGAGGATGGGTTTGGGTTGGATTTAGCCAAATCTAATATCCAATCTGTATAGGACAGTCCGGTTTGAGTAAGGTAAAATTACTATATGTTACACTAATGGACCGGTTTAGACAAACCTACTAATTTTCATATTGGATTGGGTACTGGGTTGCCCAAATAGTTTTTCAATTTTATTAATATTATATGATAAAATGATGAGTCGGCAAGTTTTTCTTTAAAATAACTCAACATTTTTTATATTTTTTTAAAAAATTAGATAATCTATTTTTACTATCTTTTACATCATAAAATAATAAATGATATCATCAACTAATAAAAATTATTATAAAATACTAGCAACAAAGTTTGATGCTAAATTGTATTAATATCAAAATATCAAAATAACTAAAAGAATGAAATATTCAAAATTAGTTAAAGGCTCGCATGGATACTTCTAAAATGGTGAAGTACCGGTACCAAGTACTCGCACCGTACTTGTGGTACTTCATTTTTTCTCATTATTCGATTTTGAATGAAATTTGTAGTTTTCTCAAATATCAATATAATAGATTTGTGTTTTAATTTTTTTGTTATTGTATCTTGTCATTATTTTTTATTTTTTCAAATTTGTATAGTTATATATTGTTATGAACTTAATAATTTAGTTCTCTACTCATACATTTTATTTTTTATTTTTTCAAATTTGTATAGTTATATATTGTTATGAACTTAATAATTTAGTTCTCTACTCATACATTTTACAGAAAAATTTTATTTTTTTATTAACGTACCCGTACTTTGATTTTTTCTAAAATGTCGTATCCTGTACTGATACCACTATCCGCATTGGGTACGGACTCGTACCTATGCATCATAGGTTAAAGTAATGGTTCATTAAAATAGTAAATGGTAAAGAGAATAAAATTGCAACAATTAAATTAATATTGATCAAAATAATTAAAATTGTAATAAAAAATATTTGATTAACGGGTCAGAAGACTTTGAGTTTGAGTCCGATTTTACTCGAAATTTGAATTTTTAATGAATTTTTTAAATTTTAAAATCCATATCCACCCAATTATTTGATCCAACCCACTTTTTTTGGATTTTTTTGGAGAATTTCTTATGGCATCCTAAGTGTTTCTATTGCACCATATAAATTTTTAAAAAGGCACTCCATTTTCGGAGATGCATCTCCGGACACACCGCAACACACACTCAACAAAGGTCATTTTGTGTTACGCCCTTTTTTTTGTTTACTTTATTCCGATGATGCATCTTCGGATTAATTCTGAAGTTATATATTCAAAGACAGACTAGTATCAGATTCAACCAAAAAGTAATTTTTCAAAATGAAATTGACATTCATAACATAAAATAAGCATTACAATGATGATTTTAACATATGCAACATTACACTTCAATATCCCGGTGCACGCTTCAACATCTTTGCGATATCTTCGACCGATCTCAAAATTGTCGCTTCCAACTTGAGCGAAATTTTTTCTTCAAAACGGAAATACGTATTCCACGTAGCCCTTACATTTGTTTGCGTATTGAGCTCAAATTTGCTGAACTCAATCTTTCCTCCGTCGTCAATCGACGGTGAATGATACTCGAACTTCACAATCTTTCGATTGTCTCTATGGGTGGAAAACGGGCATGCCCGCCCCATTTAGGTCTGCCCCACAAAGCCTGCAAAAAATGGAACGGGGCGGAGCGGCCAAAGGTAGCGATACGGGCTCACTTACTAGGCCCGCCCCATTTAATGACAAGCATGTGGGCAGACCCACACTTCTCTTTAAAAAAGAACTTTTTTTCACTCATGATATAATTTCAAAAAAAACATTCATACATTCTAATACTACCAAAATCTATTTCTCCTTAAACATAACTTTTTAAACATATTTCAATTATCCTTCTATCATTGAAGAACATTCAAGTCATCAAAATTTTGATAACTTAAATCCACACTTGACTCCTCCAAATAAACATCAAGTTGAGACTTTCGGGTCTCTGTTACAAGTTGTTGTTTGTGTGCTTTCAAATCCTATTATGATAAAAACGAAAAGAATAAACATATGTTACAACATATAACAATTGACAACATTTAACATGTTTGTAACACCATGTTATAACAACATTTTACATGTTGTAACATATTAACATGTTTGTAACAACATGTTATAACAATTAGAAAACATTTAACAACATGTTTGTAACATTTAACAGCAGCAGATTTGACAATTGATAGCATGTTATAACAACATTTAACAACATCTAACAATTGACATCGTGTTTGTTATGTTTAACAACAACATATTTGGCAATTTACAGTATGTTATAACAACATTTAACAACATGTAACAATTGACAACATGTTTGTTACATTTAACAACAACATATTAGCATGTAACAAATGACCTAATTGTTTTTAACTTATACCTGCGGGCTGCCCACGACCGCCTCGTTTTTTTGCAGTGTGGGGCGGGGCGGGCATACTTAAATACGCGGGTTCAAAATTTTGGCTCAACCCACAAAAAATGACGGGTAAAACAGGAATGCCTGGCGGGCCGGGCCCGTTTTGCCACCCCTAATTGACTATGTAAGATAGGAGGTGATGGATTTCATCTTTGATATCTTCGAGGGAGGTGAAATCAGTGAGCTTAAACATTCTCTCGGGTGTAGAGCTAGTGAAGAAGACAACTGCGACATACCAATAGATGTTTGTTTGTGACATTTGAGACATTTTCAGTTTGTGTGAAATATAACATTAGAGCACCTAAATTTATAGAAGCCATAAACCAACTTGGATCACTCATTAAATTGCATATTGATTTCAGAGATATATCTCGGGAACGACACTCTATTATCTCGTTCTGAAGATGCATCTTCGAAACTTCTCCTGAACCAGTTTCAGAATAAAACCCTATAACAGAACTTTTTTTCCCTTTTTAGAAATACACAAGCACATGGTTACCATATGTTTTCAAAATTGTGAATCTACATTTTGCGCTATCGGAGCCTACATTATCAACTTGTTTACCCTCATGAAAAATATAGTTCAAACCTGCCCGAGAAATGTTACCAACGAACTGAGAATATAGAGTGTTCTCTTTAAATCTGTGTTCTGAAACTGTGATGCTCCGACCAAAGGATGTTTGTATCTTGTTATGCTGGTTGTGAATCATGTGGTTCACGAAGTCCCAATCTCTACACAAAACCAACATAATATGTCTTCTCAATTGAGGTAACACCAACCATCTCCAATAATGGAAGTCTACACTTGTTGGTAATCGAGTGGTTAATTAAGTGAAAATATTAATTACAAATGTTAACCATTAGATTAGATTTAAGTTAATGGTTGTGATTTAGAGTAAGTTAAAAAATCTTACTCGTGGAGTAAGTTGATCTCCACTCATAGTTAGAAGCCTTCCCTATTAGCAATGACCACACGGGTTTGGCAATGACCACACGGGTTCAAGGTTCCGAGTCACGAGCATGGAGTTAAGGGTGAGAACTAACTCACAATGGTGTGTACTAATGGTATATCAACACCTGTAGAACAAGGTTCTAAAAAGAGTTCCTAGAGTCATAGTCCCATCTTTCGAATATTACGGATATGACGACTACTTGCCTACCAGTAATATTCTCAAGAGAAACTCGTACGAGTGTAGTATCGTGTGACAATTATCTCAGGTCTACACCTGGGTAATCTCCACACTACGTCCTAATAGGTCAGGATGGGTTAAAGGTTCTACGGTCCTCAGCTTCTCGGGCTCCTAGGTCAGAAAAAGTAATGTCATTCACGACTACTTGTATGGCATCAGTAATCCCAAAGGGGTCTCCACTGAGCGGTGGATCTCGACTTGACATACAAAGGACTACTCCAAACACATTTCCTGGATTATACCACACATTCTATCTTATTGTGCTCTCAAGTCCAGGTATAAGACTTATCTCACCACTCAAGATCACCAAGCACCCAAACAGAACAAGCAATAACAAACAAATCAAACAAAAACATAAATAAAACAAAGTAGGCTGAACCCACTAAGAACCAGAGATCCCCAGCAGAGTCACCATTTTTTTGTAGCGGGGAAATTGTGAGTGTAAGTTATTGATTAACTTAACTCAAAATGCACGAGTCGTCACCACACTTTTATTTTATCCAAAAGGAAAGGAAAAAATAGTGAACAAAACCTAAAGAGTTCTAAAACAAGAACAAAAGAAACAAAGACTGGGTAAGTGGGTTGGTTACGCTAAGGGAAGGTGTTAGCACCCAACATGTCTATAGTACTATATAGTAACACTTTGAAATGTCTACACTTTTTGGTTTGAAAAGGTTTGTTTGAAATAATATTAGGGAGATGAGAAGAGAAATATTTTTTAATATTCTTTTGTTTGGAGAGACTTCTTAAGCCTCATGCCTATATACCCACAAAGTGAAATATAGGATAAAAACTCTGTAGTTTGTGGTACAAATAACAAAATTGGTTTATTATGGTTGATTTTAAATGTAAATACAACTTGTCATTTCCAAGTGAATAGTTCCGCTTAAAGAGATAACTCATGTCTAAACTTATAAAAAAAAGTTTTAAAAGAAAAA